TAGGTGTTTCATCATGTACAAATGCAAACACAGCACATCAAACAAAATCTTGGGGTCACTGAGCTTGGCCAGTAAACTTAAGATGGTGTTGAAACTGCATCTGTAAAGGATGCCAAAGTCTGCCTAAGTATAGATTGAAACACCATCTTGCCTGCTATTTGGCATTAAGTTTGTTCAACCTCCCCTTTGTACATGGAAAAAGGCACAGAGCTGCCACTAGGGTGGCTATCATCACCAATGGACGAATAACTCCACATTTACTGACAAATCAGCTTTCCGGCAATAGTGAAGGAAAAGTCTAGCACGTCAACGTTTCCATTCTGGCAACAGTATCAAGGGATATGGAACAAAGATGGATAAATGGAGTTGAGGTACAGATCAGCTATGCTCTAATAGAATGACGGAACAGGCTGGAGAAGCAGAATGGCCGACTTCTGTTCCTATTGTTATGTTCTCAACAAACAATGTGTAGAGCACTCTTATTTCAGCTCACAAGTTACAAATCCAAATCAGTCCAACCAAAAACCCTCTACTCAGTTATCCCTGCTTGCTGCTTTTCTACCTCCTGATCCCCTTCCATTGGTCCTAGTCAATTGGTCCTTATTGTCCTAATGAGTATCCAACACCTATGTTCCTATGTCTGCTTCTCACTCCGGCCACCATTCTCACTTTGGGAGCTTCAGGACATTGCCAACCCCAATCCAACCACTCAAGTGGAGTGAGGAGGCTCAATTTAGCAGTCCCCATCTGTTTTGCGAAGATGCAGTCTTGTAGCTCAGTGGTTAAAGCACTCGCCTCACACGCGAGAGACCTGGGTTCAATTCCTGGGCCAGGCGAAACATTGGGCAAGTTTCTTTACTCGACGCGCCTCTGTTTACCTAGCAGTAAGTAGGAACCCATTTGTTAGTTGATTGGCGGGAAGAAAATCAACGTTTTACCCACCCGGGGCCTCTTGCTTATGAGGTGAGAGTGCTCTAACCACTAAGCCACAGGATTCCCCAATCTCATAAATGAGATTTTGAGAATTAGAAATGTCTGTGCATGTGTGCGTGCAGAAAACCTCGACATGCAAAACACCCAGTGTTATACATAAATACAACAACAACAACTTGCTCTGAGGGAAGCATCGGAGCAATGGCAGAGCCTGACTCCGAGCCGGGGGAGGGGTGGGGGAGGTGACTGTAAGCACGGGCGAAAAAGAAGGTCTTAAGCCGGGACTTGAAAAAGGGGAGAGAGGGTGCAAGGCAGAGGGAGTGAGGGAGAGTATTCCGAAGTTTCGGGGCTGAAAGCGCAACCTCCAATGGTGGAGCGGAAAGATGCGAAAGACCAGTAGCAGGCCGGTTTCTGTTGAATGAAGGCACCGGACGGTGGATTGCCAAGGAGTAAAGCGATTTTAACATGAGTGTGAAGATCTTGAAGTCGATCCGTATGGTGATGAGGAGCCAGAGGAACCTGGCTAGAACTGGTGAGATGGGGATATGGAGTTTGGTCTGGGTCAGTATGTGGACAGCAGAGTTCTGAATCAGCAGGATTTTTTGAATAGTGGAGCTGGGGAGACCGGTGGGAATGCATTTGAATAATCCAGGCGGGAAGTGACAAACGCATGAACAAGGGTTTCGGCTGCATTTGGGGTAAGGTAAAGTTGGAGGCGGGCAATGCGGTGGAGGTGGATGGAAGCGGTCCTGGTCAGGGACCGGATGTGGGGGAGGAAGGACAGCTGGGGATCAAACCGGATGCCTAGTTTACGCACTGGTTCGGTGAGTCTGAGGGAGAGCCCAGGGAGGTTGAAGAGTTTAGGAGTGAAGACATTGACGGGAGCCAAAGGGTATGGCTTCCATCTTGTCCATATTCAACTGCAGAACGTTTGCACTAATCCAGGCCCTGATGTCTGCCAGACAAGCTGATAGAACATCGGCTGACCTGAAGTCGATACTGGAGGAAGCAAAGTAGATTTGTTTGTCATCCGCATACATGTGGAAGTTTAGCCTGTGTTTGCGGATGACATCACCAAGAGGGAGCATATAGATTAGGAAAAGAAGAGGGCCAAGGATGGAGTCCTGGGGTACCCCACAGGTGACCAGGTGGGGGCAGGAAGAGAAACCATTTGCTGAGATGAAATGGAGGCGGTTGGTTAAGTAGGACTCAAACCATGCGAGTGCAGTCCCACTAAGGTGGATGAGGGAGGAGAGGTGGTGGAGGAGGATGGCGTGGTTGACTGTATCAAACGGGGCAGAGAGATCCAGGAGGACAAGGAGGCAGAGGGAGCCCTGGTCACAGATAGAGAAGACGTGGTTTGTTACTTGGATAAGCGCTGTCTCTGTGCTGTGGGCAAGGTGAAAACCAGACTGCGGGGGCTCGAGGAAGGAGTGGAGAGAGAGGTGTGACCAAAGTTGACTTGCAACAATGGGTTCCAGGACTTTAGCAAGGATAGGTTGGAAATGGGATGGTAGTGAGAGAGATTAGAGGGATCTAGGATGGGTTTTTTGAGGGGTGTGATAACAGCGGTTTTCAGGGGGAGTGGAACAAAGCCTGACTGTGTCAGCCAGATGGGGAAGAGGAGGCAGAGTTGAGGACTGTGTGACTGTGAGGAACACTTTACCATTCATTTTCTGAGCACTCTGCATTCAAAGAAAAGATTTAATGGAACAAAATGTGCAAACAAAATGGCAACGCTGTCATTTTGCATTCAAAACAGAAACTCGCACATCAGCAAAGCCATTTCCATTCCCAAATACCCCAAAGGTTAGCTATTTCGCATGATAATTAATACATTATCCAACTGAAATAGCAAGCGGGCAATTTCCAGGCTGCAGAAATATGCAGAATTGGAACCATATAAAGTACATCTCCACTCATCAATAAAGTCACGTGTACACTATTTACAGTAGTTGCAGTGCATAACATTTCCATGTAGTGTTCTACTCATGATCTGTACTGCACCACTCAAGTGCCTGCAAACTACAAAGCAACCAAACAAAAACAACCTCCACCTGCAACCATTAAAGAGACAGTCATCCTTATTTTGCTACCACCAGGGAGGATAATCTATTGCTTCTCCTTGCTGCACAGGAGAATTGTGGATATAACAGGGGGAGTAATATAACGGAGAGGTTCCATACCGATCTGTCTGCTCCTCCACGCAGCGGACTCTGGCTTGCTCCACGCCCCCCACCATTTGCAGGTTGAACCTTCAACCTTTTTCAGGCGCTGACAGCATCAACATCCAAGGATGCACTCTCCACCTCACTGAACCAGTCCAGAAACTTGGCATCTAGTTTGACCCTCAACTATCCTTTGTACTCCACATCCATGCCATTACCCGCTCTGCTTTCCCCCACCTCCACAACATTGCCCAGCTCCGCCAATGTCTCACCGAGGCCGCCAAGACCCTCATACACACATTCACAACATCCAGGCTTGACTATGCAAACTCTTTGCTTGTTGCCCCCCCCCCCCCAACTCCTCCCTCCATAGGCTGCAGATCATCCAAATCTCTGCAGACCGTGTCCTCTCCCGCACCAGGCTCCGTGATCCTATCATCCCCATCCTCACCTGACTCCACTGACTTCCCATCACACAGAGGATACAGTTCAAGATCTTGGTCCTCACCTTCAAAGCCCTCCATGGCCTTGCTCCCACCTACCTTTGAAACCTCCTACGAACCTGCCCGCTCCATCTGCTCAGCAGGCTCCAACCTGCTTCACATCCCCCACCTCGCCCACCCCATCACCTTTGATCTTTCGGCCCCTGCCCTCCACCCTCCCCGATCCCGCCTGCCAGCTCGGATCTGAAACACTGATTGTCCAGCGCCTTCAGACATCCTCCTAACGTGAAAGGTGTTATACAAATGTAATTTTGTTGTTGTTTCTACCCCCACCCTTCAGAACTCCATCCCAGTCCCTTTACCTCACCCAATCCCTTGCCTCCTTCAAGACCTTCCTTTTCGACCATGCCTTCGGTCATCCTCCAACCCGCACCCTCCCTGCTCTACACCCCTCCTGATCCCAACCCCAGTTTGGGTGCAAATCCTTGACTGTCCAGCACCTCGGGATATCCTCCTCATGTGAAAGCACTATTCAAATGTAATTTGTTGTTGTTAAGCTATGTGTTCGGCTTCTAAGAATTAAATGTTGGGTTTGTGTTTGAGTGTGGAGTCCTGTGAAGGGTAACCTACAGAGTATTCAGAATGGACTGCTGGAAGAAGGCTTCCCTGGCAAGGCATGCTCTAACAGACTGAATTGCTCCATCATTAATAAAGTCAACATTACATACTGTACCTAGCAGGTTCTCTGTACGGTAGGACATTGGGCTGATGAACTCTGGTGAACATGATGGCATTTAATGTTTTTTAAACTTCTAGCAAGAACAGAACTAAGCACTCTCAACAACAGCAAACACTCGTTTCCACTCCCAAATACTCCAAAGATTAACTGTTTCACATGTTGGAAAAGATGAAATAGAAATAACAACTTGAGGCTGTCAAAAGTGCTTAAGGGTATAAAGTGGGACTACTGTGGGAAAGCCCATGTACGTGACACCGCCTCTGGCTGGTTCCTGCAGGGTGGGCATCAAGCAAATGGACTTCCCCTTCGGGAATCAGACATTATGTCCCAGATCACATTTTCTGGAATGGAGGCTACATTTCCATATTACAAATACATTTTTAAGCTTGCATTGTAATTAAAAGAACATATTACAGTTGGACCCTGCTCATCAGCAGGTATGTCAGCTTGTGCACATCAGGCTCCAATGCAGAAACGAGGGCAATCTTTTGGCAATTTATCTGCCCTGTTCAAGCAGATTTGAACTTTACACTTGTTTGAGCTTTACATTTGGGCTTAAAATGAGCCAAACCTTTCAGTTACTTTGGTCTTGTCACTTTCTCTCAATGTGCATGAACTTCCTATATGCAACCAAAGCATCTCCAAGCCAGGTGGCTAATTTCCATTCCAACAAGTTACATAAATGCCCCCCAAAAACGCAAGCAGGATATTACTCACTGTTGTGTTTAAAGACTCGGATGGTGGACCCAGATAGACGAGCACCAAGGATGAGGGATGTGTGGTTCAGTTCATCACTCAGAATAAGACAGCCCTGTAGAGGAGAAAAAAATGGAACTCAAGATTATAAATTCCATACGGTTTTAGTTGTGGAAAATAGTTCCAAAAGATCACACCTTTATTCACGTTTTTGTTGAGTTTATTCGCAACGTACAGACTTCATTTATAAGTGAAAATGCAGGGGAACGTTGCAGGTCTGAACCACAAACTTTTTGCCCACAAAATACAATCAGTCAATCAATATACTTTACAATTAATTCTCTGAAATGCTGTGAAAAGTCTCAACGACATGATAAGGCCCTTTTGAAAGCTCATATGGATTCTGCCTCATATACTGCTCCTGTCGAGGCATTCTGTATCCTAACTACTCTATGAAGTGAAAATATTTCTCCTAACCTCCTCATTTGTTTGTTTGCTAACTAGCTTAAAACATGCCTTCTAGTCACTGACTACTCACAATTACTTCAGAAGGGTGTTCCTGAGGTAGGTTGTTCCAGAGTTTCAGGGTGTAATGGCTGAAAGCGCGGCTATCAATGGTGGAACGGAGGGCACAAGAGACAAAGCAAAAGGCTGTGAAACCGAGGTACGGATATGTATTTCAGAGGGGTTCAGAGTCATTGCTTTGCGACGTCCCTACAACATGGTAAGGCGCTATATCAAATACAAGGATTATTATTATTCCTTTACGAAGTGACTTAGACCTCTCGTCACAGTTACAGTTGCTTCCCTGTGTGTATTATGTGGGCAAAAAAAAGAGCGAGAGAGAGACACACACACACCAATTATCTACACTGGGGCCACAGCAAGAACAATGAGGAGCAAAATAATTCTTTCTAAGCTTCATACCTTGCCCATTAGAGCTGGAATATTCATGCAGTTGGTAGCAAAGCCCATGCCAAATGTCATCGCTGCTTCCACTCCCAAGAACTGGGTGACCAACTTCTCTACCTCAATGTGTTTGTCCAGGTTACCTGCAAAACAAATGATAAGGAGCTATTTAAAGGAAAATCCAGTACTCTTCGGAATGCTGCCAAAGAGCCTTCAAATTATTATAAAAGTCAGGGCCAGGAGTAAGGGGAGCTCTGTAGGAGGCTCAAATGACAGGTTTGGGAAACCAGCTGAATGCGCATTCGAAAGGATAGGAATAAGACTTTTTTTTAAGGCAGGGAGAGAGGGTTAACACAGAGTTACATCAGATTCCAGAGAGTTAGGGCAGAACGGCTGAAAGTTCACTGACGAATGATGAGGCAGATCAACTGGGGAACATGAAGCAGGTTGCTTGTTGTGTTTGTGAGTTCTAACCTCATTTTGGGTCTTTGAGCAAATGCAGTTCTGGGGGAGCGCTGCATAGTCAGAGGTGCCATCCTTCAAATGAGACATTAATCTATCTGCCTGTTCAGGTGGTCATTGAAGATCCCATGACACTTATTTGAAAAGAGTTTTTCCACAGTGTCCTGGCCATTATTCCTCCAGATGAATTAGACATTCACTTCATGGCACTATGTGGGACATGTCAGGGAAGGACTTTGCTTAATAAGCACTATATCAAATGGACCCTTACGCCAGTGACAAAAATCAAGGTTTGCTTGCATAAACACAAAGTAGCTGAACAGACAAATGTGAGCATTAATAAGAATGTAGATGTGCTCCGAGACGCTACCCTGCATGAAGGGCACTATATAAACAAACAAACCCAACGAGAGATAAACCTACATACAAGCAAGTCTAATTTATACTGGTCCGTATACCTTCCTGCTCCTCCTCTTTCCTTCCACCAACCACCCACCCCAAGCACACTAATTTCTGCTGGAAACAAAACAGTTCTGCTGGCAGAGGGCGGGAAGTGGTGTTCCACAAGGATTAGTATTGGGATCACTGTTGTTCACAATTTACATTAACAATATGGACTGCGGGAGTGAAAGTACAATTTCAAAATTTGCAGACAACACCAAATTTGGCGGGGGGTGGGGGAGGTGTAGTTAATACTGAGGAGGACTGCAACAAACTGCAAGAATACATTAATAAACCTGCTGAATGAGCATTTAATTGGCAAATTAATTTCAATATAGATAAGTGTGAGGTGGTACATTTTGGTAGAAGGAATAAGGAAATTGCACATAAGAATCTAAATGGGGTAGAAGAGCAAAGGGATCTAGGGTTACAGATACACAAATCGCTAAAAGTAGCGACGCAGGTTAATAAGGTCATAAAAAAAGTAAACAAAGCATTGGGGTTTATTTCTAGAGGGATAGAAATATAAAGCAAGGAAGTTATGTTAAACTTATATCGAACCTTGGTGAGACCACATTTGGTGTACTATGTACATTTCTGGTCTCCACATTATAGAAAGGATATAGAGGCACTGGAGAAAGTGCAAAGGAGATTTACAAGGATGATACTGGAACTGCGAGGTTATAACCATCAGTAAAGGCTGAACAAGCTCAGGATCTTTTCTCTTGAAAAGAGAAGGGTGAGGGGTGACCTCACAGAGATCTTTAAAATTATGAAAGGTTTTAATTGTGTGGGGAGACCAAAACCAGGGGCCATAAATATAAAATAGTCACCAATAAATGAAATAAGGTAGTCAGAAGAAACTTCTTTACCTAGAGAGTGGTGGGAATGTGGAACTTGCTATCACAAGGAGTGATTCAGGCGAATAGCATAGATGCATTTAAGGGGAAACTAGGCAAGTACATGAGGGAGAAAGGAATACAAGGTGATGCTGATAGGCTTAGTTGAAGGAAGGCAGGAGGAGACCCATGTTGAGCATACACACCAGCACAGACCAGTTGGACCGAAAGGCCTATTTCTGTAGGCTGTATATGCTATGTAGTTCTATGTAAAAAAAACTCCCTCAGCAACAACATCACTCAATGTTTACAGCCTATTGCTACCTCTGCTCTTAATTTATCAGCAGTCCTGATATGCTACAGAACTCACCGAAATATACTAGACAGTCACCTAATAAAGCTTCTGTAAGTACACCAACAAAGGAATTATTGACCCAAAATCATTTACAATGTTTAGTGAGCTAATGGTGCGATGTATATGGTCCGTGACGCTGGCAGAGAAACGGAACCCAAATAATATTCCGGCAATGCAACTCACCACACTGGGAGAAGGCGGTGGTTTCAGCAGTGATTCTGCTGATATATGAATGAGCATTACAAAGGGCTCATCTAGCTGTGAACAACCTTTGAACAACCTCTTGCACAATTTAAAGTTGACAGCGCGGCTGGCTAATTAACGGTGGCACTCTCGCCACTGAGTCTGAAGGTTCTGCGTGCAAGCCCCAGGTCAGAACTTGGAATTACGTAGTCTAAGCTGATGCTCCAATGCAGCGCTGGGGGAGTGCTGCATTGTCGGAGGTGCCATCCTTCAGATGAGACATTAAACCAAGGTCCCATCTGTCTGTTCAGGTGGTTGTTAAAAGATCCCATGGCACTATTTGAAAAGAGAAGGTAGTTTCTTCCAGTTTCCTAGCCAACAAATCCCCCAAATAAAATTGGGTACTCACTCCATGGCTGCTTGTGGGACATTTCTGTGTGCAATTGACTGCCTCGTTTCACCCACAAAATACACAGTCAATCCACTTTACAGTAAATCCTGTGAAGCACTTTGAGGTGTCTCGATGATGTGAAAGATTGAAAGATGCAACATCAAATGTAAGGATTATTATGTAATTGATTTTCCCTCCCTCCAATTCTCCTGAAGTTGCCAATACTTGCTGTAGGTGCAGTAGCACTGGCTCTATATTCAGCAGCGCACTAGCTACTTGGGAAATCGGGACATTTCCGAAGAGCTCACGATTGGCTCCAAAGTGCCCTGAGATTGGCTCCCGAGCGCCACCGCAAATTGTCACCTTATTTTACAGCAGAATCCCAAACCTTTTTGGTAGGCCCGTCCGCTGCTGACTAGAATCTCCCCCACTCATATCTACACAGCATACAGTCGAGTGTTTAACCCGCGCCCCCTCCCACCACCTTCTCTCCCTCCCAGTGTCGTAGCCAAGATCAATCATGCTCTCATCCATCATGCACAACGGCACTTTTCAGCAAGTATCGCTATTTGGGAATGAGGAGGGGAAACACTGGTTGGTTTTTCTCCTCTCAAGTCCTAGAGCACTGACGGCAGGTGTGGCACCCCAACTGCTATGAAAGCCAGGACCAAACTAATTTAGGGCAGAATTTGAAGCTGGTCTGTGTGCCTTAGGTTAAACCAGGTGTGACTTTATACCCCGGGACCGTTGGGGAGCTGGGACTTTAAACCTGACTGCTAGGCTTGTCCAGGAGCTCGACACCGCACAATGCGTTCATTGCCGTGTGACATATAATACTTCTATTATACTTAAGGAGAATCGTCTCTGATTATGTTTCTTCCCCACCACAGTAACAGGAGGCTTTATTCTCCCGTTTATTCATGCGTTTATGATCTTCTAAGGAAGAATTCAGAACAGTCGCCTTACTCTTCTCAGACTCGGTCATTTACTTCCTGGTTGCTTGTGGGACATTGCTGTGCATACCTCAAGTTTACTAGATGTTTATATTAAGCGTTCCATCAGTAACTATAGAAGTAATTGGATTATTTAGGGATCTGTTGAGTCCAACTAATTCAGAAAGTATGTCTGTAGACTGCCCTGGTGTGTTATTGTATGAACTGATGCTCCGCACATTTTTGTGTTCAGTACTACTTAACAACAAAATTACATTTATAGAGTGCTTTTCCTGTCAGGAGGACGTCCCAAAGCGCTGAACAGTCAAGTGTCGGGGCCCGGGCAAGAGGGACGGGTGGTGTAGGGGTGAGGGAAGGCAGAGAGGTGGGAGGGTAGCCAAAGGCATGGTCGAAGAGAAGGGTCTTGAGACTGGCCTTGAAGGAGGCAAGGGAGGAATCGAGGCGAAGGGACCGTGGGATGGAGTTCCAGAGCGTGGGGGCAGAGAGGCTGAAAGCCTGGCCACCGATGATAGGGCGGGATACATGGAGCAGACTTCATCCTCATCCGCAGACATGGGTAAATGGAGGAAGCGGGCAGGTTAGTAGGGAGTCAGCAGGTCAGAGAGGTAGGAGGGGCCAAGGCCATGGATGGCTTTGAAAGTGAGGTCGAGGATCTTAAACTTGATCCTCTGGGGGATGGGGAGCCAGTGGAGTCAGGCGAGGGTGGGAGTGATGGGGTCGCGGAGCCTGGTGCATGAGAGTATACAAACTGCAGAGTTTAGGATGATCTGCAGCTTGTGAAGGGAAGAGCTGGGAAGGCCGAAGAGGAGGGAGTTCCTGTAATCGAGCCTTGATGTGACAATGCGTGGGTGAGGGTTTCGGCAGCCTGAGGGGTGAGGCAGTGACAATATTTGGCAATGCTGCGGAGGTGGTGGTAGGCTGGCGCAGATGTGGGGGAGTGGGAGTGGTCAGGATGTCCTTTGTGACCTTGACCAGAGCAGTTTCTGTGCTTTGGGCAGCGCGGAAACCCGATTGGAGTGGTTCATAGGAGTGGGAGGAGAAGAAAGAGCGAAGCTGGGAGGCAACGGCTCTCTCAAGGACTTAAGAGGATATCATTGTCATGTAGTTTGTACAATGTATATATGGACTGAATGTATAATAATCATCTTTACAATTGGTATAGCACCTTTCACATCACGAGGACGGCCCAAAGTGCTTCACAGGATTTACTGTAAAGTAGGGTGACTGTGCGCTTTTTTGTAGGTAAATACGGCAGCAAAGTTGCACACAAGGTCCCACAAACAACCAGGAAGTAAGTGACCAATTTTTTTTTATTATTTGTGGGGTGGAGGCGTGGGGGAGAATTGCTGGCCAGGACATTGGGAGAAACACCCTTCTTTTTGCGGTGACTGTGGACTGAATGTGTGACGTAACTGTGGGGTGAACGCACTGTTATCTCTTTTGTACAAAAGAACTGTATCTCATTAGCTTCATGATTTTATTCAGTCCCAAGTTGCACCTTGTACTGTAATGTCCAAGT